GGCCTTGTATTCTGTAGTCTTAGGCAACTGACCTACTAGTTCTGGAGCTGTTTAAGGATTTCCTGGGATTTTTCCTAGGATTTTCTCCACTGATGATCATGCTGTCTGTAAATAAAATCAGTTCTGCTTCTTTGCAGTCTGTATGCCATTTATTTTTGTAGTGCCTTGTTGTTCTGTTAGAACCTCTAGTTCGAATGTTGAGTAGGTGAGACCGATATCTTGGCCTTGTACTTGATCTTAGAGGGCAGCTTTCAGTCTTTCATGATAAATGTGATGTTAGCTGTATTTCATGGATGTCTATGACTAGGTTGAGGGAATGGTCTTTTATGCTTAGTTTGCTCAGTGTTCTTATCATAAATTGTGTTGAATTTTGTCAAATGCTTCTTCTATATTTATTGAGATGATCCTGAAGGTTTGTTTCATTTCTGTTCTCTTCAAGTTACATTGATTGGTTTTTAAATATAAATTGTCTTAGATTCTTGAGTCATAATGCGTTATCCTTTTTATAGTTACTGGATTGATTAGCTAAAATTTGTAGATTTTTGTTTCTATGTTCATGATGGATATCGGTATGTTATTTTCTTGTAAGGTTTTTATCTGGTTTTGCTGTCAGGCAAACTTGGCCTTAAACTGTGAGTTGGAAATGTTTCTACTTCTATTTTCTGGGATAGTTTATTTGGAATTAGTCTTATTTCTTCCTTAGATACTTGGTAGAATTCGCTAGTGAAGTCATCTGGGTCTAGTGTGTATGTGTGTGTGTGTGTGTGTGTGTGTGTGTGTGTGTGTATGTATGAGTATGTTGGTGGGAAGGTTTTAAATTACAGATTCAACTTCATTAATTGATATAGGCTATTCAGATTAACTGTCAGTTTCTTCTTGCATAAGCCTTGGTGTTTTGTGGCTATCACCGAACGTGTCCTTTTCATCAAGCCCTCTTTTGCTTTTTAGTAGTGCTGAGGTTTGCAGTGAGAGCCCGCCTTCATTTCTGGTTTTGGTCATTTGTGGATCTTTTTCTCCTTTCCCCGTGTCCATCTTATTAGAGGTTTGTTCATTTTATTGATCTTTCTGAAGAGCCGGTTTTTGGCTACATGGAATGTTTTTTATTGTTTTTCTGTTTTCTGTTTCATTGATTTCTTTGACTTTGTTCTTTGTTCTGCTTCTTTGGGTTTTAATTTGCTTTTCCCCTCCCAGATTCTTAAGCCAGAAGCTGAAGGCAAGAGTTAACATTGCAATTCAGAGGCCGAAGACTGCCGCCACTTGTTCTTGAACTGCCCGTGAGCTAGGAATGATTTTTGCATTTTTAAATGACTAGAAAAACAAAAACAAACCACAAGTATTATTTTGTGACATGTGGAAATCAAGTGAAATCCAGATTTTAGTATGTGTAAATAAGATTTTATTGGAACACCACCACACTTAGTTGTTTACATAATGTCTCTGGTTGCTTTTGTGTTAGAATGGCAGAGTGGCAGAGTTGAGGGATGTGACAGAGACCATGTCTCTGTGACCATGTCTTAAGGTCTGTGGTTGTTTATCACTTTGCCCTACTGTTTGGTGCGTTGGAATCAGTATTTAAGCGCCACGCGTGCCACTGTATTGTGACATTTTACTTTATAATTTTATTATTAGTGCATATCATCATGTCAAAATAAGAAAAGGCAAAAAAAAAAAAAAAATCGTCTCTGGATGTTATGCTTTTAAAGCACAGTGGAGTATGGATTACTGAATGTGATGACAAAGTGTTGTGTTTATTATGCTATTTAACACTACAGACATGTTAAGGAATTACAGTTTGCACTGACAACAGCAGACTAAGCCCTCATCACATTAGGCCCAACTCACAAGAAAGTAATGACCAGAAAAACTAGAAAACTCAAAAAGGGATATCTTTTTCCAGTAGGCGTCCTTCATGGAATTAAACAGTGAACACGAGGCTGCACCCAGAGCAACTTTCCCGTTGTTAGCCAAGCAGGGAAGTCCTTTGCCAATGGTAGGCTAACAAAGTTGTGTTTGATTGCAGCAGGCCCAGAATTGTGTCTGGAGAAAGTAAACTCGTTCAAGACCATTAGTCTTTTGGCAAGAACAGTTGCTCTAAGAGTTGAAGACATCAATAATCAATGAAAAATCAAGGCAGATGGTTTTGAGTGGTTTTCCTTGGCTCCTAATGAGTTAACAGATATTACCAGCACTGCTCAGTTGTTTCTGTGAGAAGTCAGTGCTGAGTTTGAAGTTATTGAATTAGTTTTAATGAATAGTGTGTGAATTAACTGCAGACAAGAATATTTGCAGAAAGTTAAGAGAACACGAATTCCGTACAACCTGAATGAAGTGTGGTATGCTAAGATGTGTTATAACTGGTGGTGGTAGGAAGTTCTGTAAGACACAAAAAATTTCAGGTGGACAGATGTTTAATGCTGTGAAGATGTAAGATGTTTAAGGTCTATTGTTTTATTTCGTCGCAGGCAATTTGCAGAGAATGTTTGAATTTATCATGTAGCACGGAACAAGTCATATAAACATTTGCTCTTGTGGACTTAGCTGCCGTCAGTTCCGTGAATTTTTGTTGAATTCAGTGAAGCTGAATATTTTTACTTTCCCTGCTGGATAGCAACTTGATGACTTAGTGTAGTGATCAGGTTTTTGCAAATTTTTGAACCCAGTACTGAGATTGAAATTTTGGGAACTGCTCTCGGTCACTGTTATTGAACACTGAGTGGCTTTAGAAATCAGTTTTTGCTGTAGACTTGCTAATGTTTCTTAATGAATTCAACCTAAAATCATAAGACAAAACAGTGCTTATATCAAAATAATACTGTGGTAAAATCAGTTGATGGCAACTAATGTTTGAACTGTCAAATCACTTTATATAGTTTTCTATGCTGTCATGAGTTGAAATGAAGTGAGGTCTCTGTTCTTACCTGGAGTTGCATTCTTCACACTTTCTGAGCTCATACTACAGTTTCAGCAGCGTTTTCCAGCAAGTGTTAAGGAAATTTCCATATTACAGAATCTATTTAGTTGTGCAGTGGAGGCATTTTAGCCTAACCTTTACTTGGAGTGATTAATCTGCAATGTAATGGCATACTAAAAGGTAAATACTGAGAGTCAATTCCTTTTAAGGAATTTATTTATACCTTCCCAACAATGCTAGTGATTTGATATCAGTATGTGGCAGTACCTAACTGGTACTTTTTGGAAGAAGACATTTTCAAGATGAAATTCATAAATCCTATTAGAGATCAGCACTAATGAACATTTGTAGTTGACTTTGATGAAAGGGAATTCTGACTTTGAATCTCAACTAAGTGAAATACTGTCTATCCCCAGAAAGAGTTCCACTCTTCTCATGAGAAGACCTGTCTTCAGAAAATTGTAGTTATTATTATACTGTTTGAATTTCATCAATAAAAATTATGGAGACTTTTGTCTCATTATAAAAGTGCTTACATGCTATCCTCCGTTTTGCTTGTTGGTTCTTAAAGCCTAGGATATTGGCTTTCTGGTCCCCGCCGGGAAAAGCTTGCCGCCCTCCACTTTTTATGAAGATGTTTTTATCCTTCATAGTTGGCTACCTGCACTTATTCGAACTAATGCTTTCACAAACTTTAAAAGGAACTTATTTAATGGAGCAGCCTTGCTTCTGTTGGATATATTAATTGCAGCTTAATTGTGTAATAAGGTGTTATTGTCTTGTGTTAATGTTCTAAATTTGAAGCCTAGACTTTCCGCGGTTGTCCAGCATTCTGTGGTAGAGTTACTGGGCATTGACATTGTTACTGGTAAAAGTAGCATACTGTCTGCTGCGGTGTGATTCTCAAGTAAGGTGGCTGCCTTCAAGGATCCTGTAAGAGCCAATGGTATGCCAAAGCACAGAAAGAAACAGGTTTATTCTAAAGACTGGGCTGGAGAATAAATTTTAAATGATTGCCACTAGTTATGCTACATTTTGAGAATCTTTGACCCCTTAAGAGTAGATAAGAAATGGAGAGTCAGAGAGGAAGAGTCACGCTCCCCAAACCAAAGTTTATTCCCTCAGAAAGGCGCAGGAAAGGTCTCTACTGTGTGTGGTCACTGGTTTTCTGTTCTGGGAAAAAAGATGAGGGCAATTTGTACTCTCCCCAGGGTATCATTCTTCTGTATCTTTAGAATTTTGATTCTTTGTAGTCTTGGGAGAAAAGTATCTTTGTTGGATGATTGGAGGAGGATTTTGAAAAGCCAGAATTACCGGGCTAGGGAGCTTTGGTGGAAACCAGAGGGTTAGAGGGTACTCATCTTATAGAAAGAACAAGGTTAATGACAGTTATTTGTACAACCAAAAAGCTATGGGGAATGACAGGATTACAAATGGAGAAGCGACAGGATTACAAATGGAGAAGCAACAGGGTTTAGATCCTTTAATTCATAGGTTTTGATTAGATATTTAAGTTTATGAGGCTATTAAATGCACATAAAAATGCACAGACAACTTTACACTATTCCTTTAAAATGCATTCCTTATGTGTCACTCTTTATTTTGGGGACCAAGAAGTTTTAGTAAGACCTAATTTCCGCAGTTCTAATTTAATTTCTGCAGGACTATAATTTGATTGACATCAGTGGAAAATAGAGTATATTGCTGTATTTATATGATATTCTTTTTTATGTTGTCAAGAATAGAATAATACAAAGCGAGGTCATCTTTACAATTACTGCAACTTGTGATCATTATAAATGGACAAGGAAAATCAGCGCCCAGTTGATGCATCTGTAAATAGATCCGTAGTTGAGAGCTGTACATCCTCTCCCTATGGTCGCCTCGGGTGTTTTTTGTGATCCTCTTTGTCTTCCAAAATGGGAAACTTTGTTCAGTATTATAAGATGCATTCAGATAACCTCAAAGGATGAAAAGTAACCATTTTGACATTCAAAGTAGTTAGAAGCAGATCTTTTAAGGAATAATTAAAAAATGTTTTAAAGTCAGTGCTGCAGTCTTTAAAAGAGTCGTTCTATTTGATGTTTAGGTCTCTGAAAGAAGATGAACTTGGCTGAGATTTGTGACAATGCAAAGAAAGGAAGGGAATATGCCCTTCTTGGAAACTATGACTCCTCTATGGTGTACTACCAGGGAGTGCTTCAGCAGATTCAGAGACACTGCCAGTCCGTCAGGGACCCTGCCATCAAGGGCAAGTGGCAGCAGGTAAGACCTCGGGGATGTGGTCCATGACTAGGGGCAGTAGCTGGTGCACCTGAGAGATTCGTGTTGTGTTTGAAATTGTATAAATAGTTCTTACTTGTCTGAATACTGAAATATATTTGAAAGGTACTTGGAATAATTTTCTAATGGCTTGCCTAGGTCATATTTTTAAAATTTGACATAATTTTCTAATGGCTTGCCTAGGTAATATTTTAAAAATTTATTTTTATTTTTTTTTATTTATTTATTTTATTTTTATTTTTTGAATTGGAGTCTCACTCTGTCGCCCAGACTGGAGTGCAGTGGCCGCTCCCGGCCACTGCAGCCTCGACCTGCTGGGCTCCAGCGATCCTTCCGCCTCAGCCTTCCAAGTAGCTGGAACTACAGGCACGCGCTGAGTTCTCACCAGAGAACTGAGGTCTCACCAAGTTGCCCAGGCGGGTCCTGAACCTGCGGGCTCAGGCAGTCCACTCACCTCAGCCTCCCAAGGCGCGGGATTACAGGCTGAGCCACCAAGCCCAACTATTTTTAAAATTTTAATCTTGTATTTCATGAGGTATATTTTGAAAATATTCAATTCTAATTGAATCTACTTTTAATTTTTAAATTTTGAAATCAGTTTACCTAATTGAGTGTGACTATCAATTTTTGAAATAAAGTATTTCTGCTTGCCTCTCCCCTTTCATTTTCGCATGCAGTATTGACCTATTTCATAAAATTTTTCCTTAAGAAAGTTTCCTCATCTTCTGAAAGACTTACAAATACAAATGGGTCTGTAATCCAATAAGAAATGGTAATAGGATATTTGCTGTCTTTTGACTATAAAACTTGATTAATAGCACAGTTAGTAAAACTTGAATTATAATTTCCCACTTACTTTTAAAATTTAATTTACATTTAATATTTTAATTGATTAATATCTTTTAACATCGTTCTTGCTTCAGTGCCCCAATTTAAAATTCATTGTAACTTCAAAAAAAGAATTTATTTAAAAGTACATTGATGGCATAGTGGTAAATGTAGATGCCTTCCACCACAAATTTTTTTTTTAACAAATAGTGCTTATAAGCAATACATCTTTTACTTATTTATTTATTTGGAGTCTCACTCTGTCTTCAGCCACTGCAGCCTCGACCTGCTGGGCTCAGGCCATCCTCCCACGTTGGCTTCCCAAGAAGCTGGAACTACAGGCGTACGCCACCATGCCTGGTTAATTTTCTGATTTATGGTAGAGATGAGGTCTCGCCAAGTTGCCCAGGCCAGTCTCGAACTCTTGGGCAGTCCTTTTACCTTCACCTCCCAAAGTGCTGGGATTACAGGCATGAACTACCACGCCAGGCTACCAATATATCTTTCTTTAAGAAAATAATTAAATAAAACCTTTCGTTCATCTTCAGTAAAGGTTAGTTAGACAAAATTGACTTTTGGTTCATAAGGGCTTACTAATTAAGGTTGTAGTTTTCAGCTGTTACAGTAAAACAATATACTATACTTTTCAGAAAACATATGTCAGAACATGTGATACTTAACCAGTTTGCGTGGCATCCCTGCGCAGTGGCCATGCCAGGCTCAGTGTCGTTCCAGTTGTGGTGTTTGTGCTGCCAGAACAAGCTCTCCCCGCTTACTGTCCCCACTTAAAATCTTTTAAACATTAAAAGGACAAAGTCAAGCATTTCTTTGAAGTTTCCATTTCATGTATTAATGTCTTTCAAGTGTTTCTTCTAATTTTTCCACTAGTCAGAAATTGATGTTTTACTAAATTTTGAGGGTAAATTTGGCTCATTTTCCAACTTAAGTGTTACCAAATTATGTTGAGTGAGGACAACATACTTGCTCTAACTCATGGTAAAAGTTTTAGTTGTTTTTTTCCTGTCTTTCCTGTTAGCCACAGGCAGGATGGTTTATTAATCTAGTATGGAAATATTTTTGACCAGTTCTTAATTGTATATGTTAAATAGCGACCATTTCTTTTCAGATATTTCTGTTGTATTTTTTTCCATTGAGTTCTGAAATTTTATTACATATATTAACAATTGAATTTTACCTAGATTTTTCTTTTTCTTTGGTTCTGTAACTCCTTCATATGTTCCTTTAAAATCTGAAGAGAAATCAGAGTGTCATATGTTTCTTTTAATATGTTATCCAGGATAAAGATTCTTATGTTCTGCTTTATAGTAAAATGTAGCTTTCTGGTGAAAAAACATCAGAATTGATAAAGTGAATTTATAAATGTAATTTTTAATCTTTATCTGGTTGCTTTTGAGAATTAGTTTGGGCTCAGAGTTTGAAAACAGAAGAATTTCTTCAGAGTAGGTACTCGTTAAGTTTTTTAAATAATAGGAAAAAAATCTTGCCTTTGAACTCAGAATAAACTTTACCCAGGACTTGAAAGAATTTAGATAAGGTTGAAAGAATTCCGATTTTAGGTGAAGGAGAATTTAAATAGAAGTCAGGAATGTGCAATTCATAGTATCACACTGCTTCCAGCTTTCAGACACTTAGGCCAGGCATTTTATATTTAGTGATATTGGGGATAGGAAATGCTGGTGAAAATTTTGGCTGACAATTTTTTGGCATTTATTTATGAATATACTAAAAGGATTTAGCATAACATTTTAGATTTCTGGGAATGGTTAGCTTGTTACTGACTTAGTTGCCTGTTTCAAATTGTATTAATGATCAATCATATTCTTTGGTAGAAATAGTGTTCTATTATGAGATATATATATACTGTTTTCTCTTATTAAAAGGTATATAATTGTCTTTTTTCAAACTAATTTCTGCCCTTTTCTCTATATTACTTTACATAGTTCTTTGTCTCTTTGAATATGTTTTAATTATTCATTTTGCACACTTTGATATTAAGAAAACTTGCATGTTATAGCAGTTTATTTTTAATTTATAAGATCTTTAAATGGTTTCTAGCATAAAGGCTATATATTTTTTAAGGTTCGGCAGGAATTATTGGAAGAATATGAACAAGTTAAAAGTATCGTCAGCACCTTAGAAAGTTTTAAAATCGACAAGCCCCCAGATTTCCCTGTGTCCTGTCCAGATGAGCCATTTCGAGATCCTGCTGTGTGGCCACCCCCTGTTCCTGCAGAGCACAGGTAAACGGGACTTTATCTACTCTTCAGGGACTTCTAGTCGTTGCTATTCAGAGTGAAGCTTGATTTGAACAAAATGTGAAAAAGCACTTTAAGGGGCATGTACTTTGTTGTTGTTGTTTTGAGTTGAACTCTGACTCTTGCCCAGGCTGGAGTGCAGTGGCACACTCATGGCCACCCCAGCCTTGACCTGCTGGGCTCAGGCAATCCTTCCACCTCAGCCTTCCAAGTAGCTGGGAATACAGGCATGCGCCACCATGCCCAGTTAATTTGTTGTTTTTTTAAGACAGGCTCTCACTCCAGCCCAGGCTGGAATGTAGTGGCATGATCATAGCTCACTGCAGCATTGGTCTGCTGGGTTTAGGTGATCCTCCTGCCTCAGCCTACTAAGTAATCAGGCATGCACTGCCACACTTGGCTAATTAAAAAAATTTTGGGGGGTGAGTAGAGGTGGAATCTTGCTGTGTTGCCCAGGCTGGTCTTGAACTCCTGGCCTCAAGCCATCCTCCCACCTCGGACTCCCAAAGTACTAAGATTATAGGCATGAGCCACCAAGCCCTTCTCTGGGAGTGTGTACATTTCATATCTGTTTTTAATTTTCACATTTACAGGTTTAAGATTTCATAATTGTTAAAGAGCAAAAGTAAATCACTTGTCTTGTATCTTGCTTTTAGAATGCTTTATTGCTGTATTCATAACAATAGCACTCGAATGCTATCCTAAAATTTATCACTTAAGAGAGGTCTTTTAAGTTTCAAAATATCAACATCAAAACTCAGGTTGTCTTTTGGTGTTTGCTTGAAGAGACTCTAAAATGTCAAACGGAATGGTGGAGAAATTGGATTTACCTGGTTGGGCCTTTCCAGAGTGTCAGTGTGGCAGGAACCTGACTGGTCATGTGGACCTGGCTTGTGACCTGAAGGCCACATCCTCAGCGCAGCACACCAAGCTCCCAGTTTCTCTCCCACCAGTTGCCTCTGACCCCTGCCTGGGCATCATCTCTGGGAAGCCTCTTTCTTCTCACCCTTTCTTGTCTTGTCGTACAGTCTATCCTTTCTTCAAGGAATCCTGCGATCTCTGCCTCTAAGCAGCTCAGACTCGTTCTTGGAGTCTTGGCTCAGCGGTCCCCTCCACAGCCTTTTTCGATGTGCCCAGGCACAGCAGTTTGTTTGTTGCAGTTACTGGGTTGCATGTATTGATCTCTTTACAGGATCAGGAACTTTGCAAGAAGCAGGACCATGGTTTTATTTACTTAAATCAAAAATCAGATAACAAACTTCCTCTGCTAACCCTGGGTTTGGCACACAGCAGGCACCCAGCCAACACTGAATGAACAACACCATTGGTTTCACAGTGAGAAATCTGAAGCCCGAGAGATCCCACCTTGTAAGCAAGGCTAGATCGAGAGCTGAGTTTAAGTCTCTGGCTTTCTTGTGGAGTGATGTTGTGGCCAGAGTGTTGTGCCACAGAAAGGAAGGTTTTCTTTGGTCAGTAGCTGTGACAATCTGTTTCATGTATTGATTTCTTAAAGTTTTCTAAAAACATTTTAAGAACTGTGAAAAGTGGTTAATTTATTCCTTTAGTATTGTTTCCACTGAGTAACAGATAATTTTGTAATTTTCATTGTGAAAACCCTGGATGAAGATATTTTTTAAGGTCTCCAGTGATGTTCTTTTCCTCCGGTGTGTTAATAACCACCTTCAGGTGTTTAGCTTAAGGTAGCCCTTATCCCTCAAAAGGCAGTGATTCAAGAGTCCTAAGATTGTTCCCATGGAAGCCCCAAAGTAAACATGAAAAAAAAGGAATGGCATTTTCATCTGTCAGAGCTTGAAATTTTTCTGTATGTGTGTATAATGAAATACTTTGTTTTTTGCTGGCAGTCACTAATTCTGAAACATACTTCTAGTTTAAAACTAAAAGCTGACAATAACTTTAAACATAAGAATAAATATTCTGAGTTGCTAAAGCACCACAGTTCATTTCTTTTTTTTTTTTTTTTTGAGTTGGAGTCTCACTCTGTCGCCCAGACTGGAGTGCAGTGGCACACTCCTGGCCACTACAGCCTCGACCTGCTGGGCTCTGGCGAACCTTCCGCCTCAGCCTTCCAAGTAGCTGGAACTACAGGCGCGCGCTGCCACGCCCGGCTAATTTTTGATTTATTGTAGAGATGAGGTCTTGCCAAATTGCCCAGGTGGGTCTTGAACCCACGGGCTCAGGCAATCCACTCACCTCAGCCTCCCAAAGGCGTGGGATTACAGGCTGAGCCACCGAGCCCGGCTAGAACTTATTCTTTAGCATTCTAACTCAAAATAGTCCTTGTGTTAATGAAATGATTTTATAACATTTACATGTAGGCTGATTAGGTATGTTCTCTGTCATGAGTTGGGCTCTTCCAGTGCGACCTGAGGCCATGAAAAATTGGAGCAGATATGAAATATCTAGCCCGAACTGTTGAATAGGAGTTAGAAATGAGAAATTTCAGATTTTGTAATATTGGAGGAGTATTTGACATAGCATATATTCAATAAAGTCTTCTTTTTTTTAGCTTAAAAAATGAATATGGTAGGTCTTTCCCCCCCAGCTTTATTGAAGTATAGTTGACAGTTAAAAATTGTATATATTTAAGGTATACAACTTGATGATTTGATGTACATTGTGTAATTAACCTGCCACAAGAAGTTAATTCGCTTATTGGTTACCTCACATAGCTTATCCTTTTTTTCTTTTTTCATTTTGTGGTCAGAACACTTAAGATCTACCCTCCTAACAAATTTCAAGTTTTCAGTATTGTGACGTCTAGTCACCTTGCTGTAGATTAGAGCTCCAGAACTTACTCATTCTGTGTCACTGAAACACATAAGCACATACATACATGCCATACATTTTTAAATCCATTCATCTGCCAGTGGGTATTTAATTTGTTTCCATATCTTGACTATTGTCAGTCATGCTGAAATGAACAAGGGAGTGCAGAGATCTCTTTGATTGGATTTTATTTTCTTTGGCTACATACTCAGAAGTGGGATTGCTGGATCACAAAGTAGTTCTGTTTTTAACTTTTTGAGGAACCTCTGTTCTCTATAATGGCTGTACAGTACCAGTTGATGCTTCCAAGTTGTAGGTCTTTTTAGGTTACTAATCTTTTGGGAGAGGTAGCAGTAAGAACAGGAAACATAAGCCTGGAATTAGTCATTTTGCTGTTCTGCATAGGTGCTCTGAAACTCGAGTAGGCCGTCTATAATGTCATTTCATCAAGAACTGAGGGAGATGACATATAGATAGGAAGATTGATTTAAAAAATCAAATTAGTACTATTCTATAGAATTTCAGCAAAGCAGAAATTCTTATTGACTTAATATTAAAGTTGTTGCCTTATGTTTCTTTGGGTACTCACGTAGTTAAATGACCAGGAGCATTTAAAATCCCAATTTGCAGTGAAAAAGATCAGGTAAGACCAAATGCAGGTACTTAATAGAGAGTAATTGACCATCTCATCCATACAAACATTTCGCGCAGGCTCTGGCTTAGTCAGTTTCCTGGGGTTATTAGGTCGGAGCGAGCTGGGCTCAGTGGCTCGATCTATAATCCCAGCACTTTGGGAGGCTGAGGTGAGTGGATTGCCTGAGCCCGCGGGTTCGAGACCCGCCTGGGCAACTTGGTGAGACCTCATCTCTACAATAAATCAAAAAACCAGCCGGGCGTGGTAGCGCATGCCTGTAATTCCAGCTACTCGGAAGGCTGAAGTGGAAGGATTGCTGGAGCCCAGCAGGTCGAGGCTGCGGTGGCCGGGAACGGCCACTGCACTCCAGTCTGGGTGACAGGGTGAGACTCCAACTCAAAAAAAGAAGGTCGGAGCGCATGTTTTTGTATGAGTTCCACTATGAATTGAGTGGTTCTGCAAGTTCATTTCTCTGCCTCATTTTCCTTCTGTAAAGTGTATGTTGAAATGAGATTGCCTGTAGGATGCTGGCACCTGTTACTGCCAAGCCCTGTGCGCAGTGCTGTCCACATATGGAGGGTTGCAAAAACAGGCATCCTCCCTGCCCTCACACATATGGTCCTGAAGATGGTGTGAGGGCAGTTACTGAGGTAGAATGGCCTGGATTTGGTGATTAATGAAAAAGAAAAATTGCAGCAGATAATGAAATATCTAGGCCTAGCTGTCAAATGGGAGTTAGAAATGAGAACCCGACTTTAAGAGAGCTTAGTAGGTTATTTGCCTCTTTATAGTAGGCTATTTGCCTAATACTGTTGGCAAGTTGAGATAATCCTCATCTTAGCATTCTGGAGTCTTGTTCTCTTCCAGAATTCTGTTTCCAGTATTAGATGGACTCTATTTTCAGACTGTGAGCAGAATGTGGGGAGCAGGGCTGATTAACCACAATAATAGCCGACGTTTCTTGAGTTCTTAACTGAGCAGTTACTGGGGGTTTACATGGTTTCTCTTTAATCTTCGGCTCTACCTCTCAAATCCATACTATCATGATCATCCCTGTTTTTAGAAGAGGAAACTGAGGCTTAAAGATTCAAAGTTACTTTCTCAAATGCTGCTCATGGGTCACTAGGAGAAGGACTGGGAGCTGGATTGGATTTAGCAGCACAAGCTCTTTCACTGGTGGCCTTGCGAACCGGCCTTGAGGAGTGGTGGAGAGTGGAGGCGTGCGTTCAGAGGATGGGACAGGAGGGACGGAGGAGGATTGTGTCAGCAAGTCCTGCTGGATGATGGAACAGAGAAGATGAGTGGTAGTTGGAAAGACAGGCAAGGTTTGCTGTTTCAGAGAGACCGGCCTGAGGATGTTTGCATGCCGAGGGAGATGCTGCAGTGGACGTGGATGTTGGTGATGCTCGTGTGAAGTGGACGACTGCCGGGCGGTGTCCTTGATGGACAGGAGAAGGCAGGACCAAACGCACAGGAAGCGTGTGGGTAGCTACTCACAGGCAGGAGGCAGGGGTGATGGAGGCGTGGGTGCAGGGGTGGCAGGGGAGTGGGTGCAGGCGGTGGG